AAAGAAATATTTTTATTATCTCAAGTAAATAAGATATGACAAGGGCCGGGGAATTAGCTGAGCGGTTTGGTGGCCTGCCTTGCAAGCACAAGGACCCGAGTTCAATCCCCGGTACCAAAAAAAATAAAACAAAATTAAATTGTTTTTCTCTTATGCTTCTTTAGTATGTACTAGCATAAATCTAAGGGTAAGTAAACCCCCTACACTATTCTAAAATCAACATAAATAAATAATTTTAAAATTTATAAAATGAAGTACAAATTAATATCAGTATAATGAATGATGTTTGTAGAAATTACATCTCATAAAGTGAATAAGGGAGAATACTGTCAAACAGATTCTTGGATTCAGCATCCTGCTAACTCATTGCACTTTTCTCTTTCAGAACAACTATAAGTCTTTATTTTGACTTTCACTTGGCTTGAACTTTTCATTGTGTGTACAGCCAACCTCAGTTCTCCTTTTGGCAAGGAAAGACTGAATTTCTTCTACAGAGGGACAAATAATGGACCCATGTAAACAATGCAGATGCAGACTCTTACACCACAGTATTCCATTGCAATGAAAACAAAAGTTTAAATGCTCAAATAAACCCCTCAGACTTTCATATTTGGAGACACTAAGTTGAGAGGCTCTTCTAGTAGAAAATAAAGGGCTTAATGTTTTTAAAACGGATGACCTAACATCATAGTTTGTCTGTGTAGCCCCTAGTTTATGTCTTCTTCTAGTACCTGCTTTCAATTTCAAGTGTCCCCAAGAAAAAGATATGACATATAAAAGTTATATTTATCCAAAAATATCCCTAATTTCTTCAACCTAATATCTATGTATTAACATCATTATTGACCACATTTATACTGGCACTGGTATTGATTTCTTTTGGCCCCTTTTATTTATTTATTTATTTTGGTACCAGGGATCGAACTCAGATCCTTGCACTTGCCAGGCAGGCGGCAGAACCACTGAGCTAAATCCCCGGCCCTGATTTCTTTTACTTATATTAAAATAGTACTTTCAAAAGGTAAGGAGGTACTCCTTATTCCTTGGTTGCCGATACTGTATTTTGTAGGCAAATCCATATTTACCTTATCCCTTCATCTTGATTTCATAGCCTTGACTCGGATTTCTTCTATAAACTTTTAATTTCAAAAAAATTCTCCCAAACTTGCAGCAATTATCTAAGTGTTTCTAATTTATTCAATTCAATTCATTCTAGATATTCTTTAGCTCCTTAAAAGCCCCAAGCTGAAATATGGAAGATGGGTTTCTATTTTCAAAGAAGTTAAAGCCTTATGGGAATTCAGTCATCTGAAGAAAGAAAAATTTTTATGAGCAACTATTTGCCAAGGCAACTATAACCTAGAGATTCAGAACACTATCTGGAGCCAGATTATCTAGTTCAAATTCTGGTTCTGCCACTTATTGGATGACCTTAAGCAAACTGCTTAAACTGTCATTCAAGTTCTTTTTCTGTAAAACTGAGCCAATAGTATAACCTGGATTGATACAAAAATGAAAAAGTTCCAGGATAGGGATTTAGCTCAGTGGTAGAATGTTTACCCAGCATGCGCAAAGCCAAATTCAATTCCGAGAGAGCACCGCTAAAATAAATAAATACTAAGTTTAGCCCTTAGAACTAATAGCTAAGTGGCATTTGGTAAAAGCACTTAATAAATGTCAGCAATATGAGGTTGGTACTAGAGTTATCGATAAATGTTTCTGTTCTTTCTTTCAGACACATGGAATACATACATGATAGGATCCTTTTTTAAGTATGACTGTGTGCTTATCTTTGGCTAATGAAATGTAAGAAGTGACAAGTGTCATTTTACATAAATCCTTGAAAACCAGTAAATACTTTGCCAAGTTAATTTTCCCCTGCCATGCTGCTTAAACTAGCACATGCTGAGATGGAGCCTCTGCTACGAAGATGAATGGCTAAGTGTCATATGAACAGAACTCCCTTGCTAATCTATAACGGACGAATGGCTTCAGTGAGCCAAACTTTATGTTGTGTCAAAGCATCAAAATTCTGAGGCTATTACTATAGCTTAACCTAGGTATCTTGACTAATGTATTATACAATATACAGCCACTTGGATTTAGCAGTGGATCAAACTGACAATAACCCTCCCCTGTGAGTTCCTTAAGATTTGTGTGCAATATTCAAGCTATTCTATTCACACAGGAAGAAGACAGATTTGGCCGATGTGAACTTACTGTTTCTGTCACCCAAAAGAGAGTTTTGAAATGCTATAGAGTCAAACTAAAAAAGCTAGAGAAGAAAAGAAGTATCCATAACATGGTCACATCTTATGGAACTTTCCCACCCTCTCAAAGTACTGTGATGCAGTTAACTAACATGGATACACAAAAACAAAGAAGTGTGAAGAGAGCTTTACATGAGCCATTGTGAAGACTAGCTAGTTTCCAGAATCCCTCAACACCTGGGAGTAAGGAAACAGGAGCTCTTTCTCCAAGAGGTAAATTGTATAATGGGTTTGAGCATTCATTCATTCTTTCAATTGGAAAAAAAAATTTTTTTCAGCTTTTTTTTTTGTACTGGGGATCAAACTTGGGACCTTGCACTTTTGAGGCAGGTGGTGGAATCACTGAGCTAAATTCCGGGCCCAACAAATATTTATGTCCATTTACTATGTGTCAGGGAATATAATGTTGGATATGGGGATGAACAAGACAGAGTAAGTCCTGCTTTTATGGAGCCTATGTTTAATATGAGAGATAGATATTAACAGATCATTTAACAGGATAATCTTCTATGAGACAGAGTGATAAATGCTTTGAAACAAGCAGGTAAGACAAGTGTGACAGTGTATATGACACACATGGGGAAATGGTATTATCTTATTTTTTTCTATTTTTGGTGCCAGAGGAATTGAAAGTGTTTTGTGCATACTACCAGGAGCTATACTCTCATCTTAGTATGGTAATTTAGGTAGCCAGGGAAGCATCCCTGTAGAAGTGATGCTGAATTTGGCCAAAAGTACAACTGCTAAGGAGAAGTTAATCCTGTGGAGCACCTGGAAGAACAGTGTCCCAGATAGGATAATAAATAAAAAGGCCCTGAATTATAAAGGAAGACAGAGTAGTGCACACCTGTCATCCCAGCTACCCAGGATGATGAAGCAGGAGGATTGAGAGTTCAAGGCCAGCCAGGGCAGCTTAGCAAGACTCTGTCTCTAAATAAAAAATAAAGAGGGCTACGGATGTAGCTCAGTGTAAAACCCTGGGTTCTATTTCAGTACTGGGGGGAAAAAGGGAGCTTGAAAACCTTAGTAAAGAGTGATAGGAGATGAGTAACAGAGAGAGAAGTAGAAGTGTTCAGGTTCCGCCACCTGCCTTGCAAGCACAAGGACTTGAGTTCGATCCCCAGTACCAGAAAAAAAAAGAAGTAGAAGTGTTGAATCATAGAGGCTCTTGTGGGTGGGCATAAGAAGTTTGGAAACTCATGAATATTTTGAACTAAAAAATCTATATAATCTGATTTGTATTGAAAAGATCACTGCAACAGCTACGTGGAAAGGAATTGGTTTTGAGGCAATTTCAGTAGTCTAGATAAGGATTGAACAGGTAGCACCAGAAAATAAGATAAGAAAGTTCATAATTGGACATAGTTTTGAAAGACAAGAGGATATACTCATGGGTTAGATGTACAAAATGAAAGACAGAATCAAGGTGATGGACATTGATTATTTTGAAATAGGGAAAATGAAGGGTGGAACTAATATGGGGGTAGAAATCAGACATTTGGTTTTTGACCATATTGAACTTGATATACCTATAGGGCAGAATTTTGAGGAAGCACCAAGATAACATAGTTTAATCCTGAGGGCAATGAGAACCCACTGAAGAGTTAAGGGTGTCTGTGATTGAGACTCATGTGCTTCATGACAAAAATCCATTTCCTCAGCTCCTCCTAGGTCCATTATTTAACTGTAAATGTCTAATCAGCTCTAAGGACAGCTCACTGACTTTAGTGGTATTCATTTGTCTTTGCTGTCTTTCCCCTTGTTTGCCTTTCTCTTGCTTGGATATTCCTTTGCTTTTATCATTTTAAAATTTGATTTAAAGATTTGAGGGAGAATGAGAGATTTATCCATTCTAGGTAAACTCTGATAGAAACAGTTAGCTAAAGACAGATTTTTTTTCCCAATTCCATCTTCTGTGGATTTTAGTTTCAGTCTTACCTCATTATCACTGAAAATTGGAACTTTGTGGATGATTGCCCCTACATCTGATTTCTGTTATCAAAAAAGAATTCAAATGGACCTTTAGGTAAACAGAGAATATCACTTTTTAAAACTATTGAATGTGAAAAGTAACACAGAGAAAGTGTAATGAATATCTGGCATCTCCACCTGGCAAATACTTTGCCATATGTGCTTCAGGGTTTTGTTTTGTTTTTTAAAGTAAGTTTCTTATGTTCTTTTTCTGGCCTCACTTTATCCCCCCAGAGATTACCATTTTCTTTAGTGTTTATAATTCCCACTAGTGTTTTCTTACTGTTGCTAAATCTGTGTCTATCTTGGCCTACTTTTGTATCAGTGACATCATATTGTGTATAGATTCCTGAAACATTTTTTCCATTCAGCATTATATATATAAATATATATAATATTAATATATATAAATATAAATAAATAAATATATATATATATTATAAATTATATATAATATATAAATATATATAATATATATGAAATGTTTATCATATACTATAAATTATATATAAATATATTCATAAATGACCTAATATATCCTTTTTATTACTAGTATTTATTTACTCATCTCCTGATAAGTTTTTTCTATCACAAACATTGCTATTACAATTATTCTTAAACACAATTTTCAAGATTATACACATTTGGGGCACGGACCAAGAAAGAAATTGGTGAGTGGCAAGAAGTATACATTTTTCTTAGTTATTGCCAAGTCCTACCAGCAATGTAGAATATTTCCTGATTCCTGATTCCTCGTACCTTAGCAAAAGCTAAAGTCTGACTGCCTAATCTTGCCAATTTGATAGCTATGAAGTAATACACTTTTCCTTTGTGCTTTAATGTCACTTTCCTGATTATAGCAGAGAGGACTAAACAATTATGTTCATGTCATGGACATTTTCCCTCATCCTCCATACTATAGGTAAATGTGAAAAATTTTGTTTAAAAAGCCCATAATTATAAATTAACTAAACATGAACTCTGCCATTCATTATACATTTATTTGTCCCTCCAAGAATTATATTCAACTCCTGATAATTGCCAGGCCTGGGTTACAAAGACGACTAAGATTTTGTGCAGAAACAGAAATGACCCCAGAAAAATCATAAGGCCATTGGTTAAATGATATAATAGACATAGCTTGACAATGCATGCCTGGAAAATTAAGAGTCCATCCTTCAACAGTCCTTACTTTTGCAAGGTAATAACAGCTAGCATTCATTGCTGTTCTGACCTATTTACTATGCCACATGCATCACATAAGTGAGTGGTCTCACTTGATGCTCGCAACAACGCTCAGAGGAAGTTACTATTATTTTCTCCATTTCCCTGAGACACAGAGAGGTAGTTTTTCCAAGATGAGAACAAAACCTTGTTTGGAGTCAGGCAATTTGAATTTATAGTCTGTTATCTGAAGCATTTTATACTATTTTGCCTCCATAATTCATTGCCTTTACCTCTCTTTCTGCCTCCCTAAGCAAAATCAGAAGATACTACTTTTTTATCTCATAGCAACCTAAGTAGACCTCTATTTGAGATGCTTTTTGAACTATTTTCCTCTGATTATCTTCTACTTTAGAAGAAGAGCATGAAGTATGTGTTTAATAAATATCTTAGTGAATATATAAATGCAACAGAACACCAAGGATGAAACAACTGATTTTTTTCATGGGATGATCTTGACTGCCTTGAAGAAGGAAGAAATGTGTCTGGCAGGCCAACAGGCATTTGCTGCCTGTACAAAGAAGCTTCACAAACCCTGGGATTGCTGGAGAGCAAGTATTCACTGGGGCAATGGTGAAGGGATAAGAAAGAGAGACAAGGACTGCTGGAGTTGGTTGATTTTTCTTTTCCTGCAGGTGATGGGATGGCTCTGCAGCAGAGTGAAAGCCTAGGAAATTCAGACTATTCTGGGTATTTGCTTCTACACCTTAAAAATATGTCTAACCTTAGATGGACTTAAAGAATAATATTTTGATGTGCATAAGGGTAAAACTCTAGAGAATTCTGTTAAAATGAACTTTTAAAGAAAATATCAGCATTTCATAAAAGATTTGCTCAAGCAGATTTCTCATTTCTTTGAAATAAACCACATCAAATACTGCTGAGATCTCCAAGTACACTTTAAATGCTTAGTTTTGATAAAAAGGAAATTTTTACCCTCTTCAAATTTGTATCCTCTCTAAAACGTTTAGACCTCTGTCTAAGTTTTGTGCCTGTTACTTTTAGTTTTTTGTTTTTTAAAATTTTACTTTGGGGCAAGTGAAATTTTATTCACATATTTGCAGGTTTTTCCTGAATGTATAGATGCAACACATGACTTAAACTAAATAGAGGTATCTGGCCCAACATCGACCAGGGAGGTCTGGGGCCCAGAAGCAAAAAGGACTGCCTTACTTAGGGCCTTTGTTGAAGTTTACTAATCATGTGACAGAAAGAACAAAGGCAGAATGGGAACTTGAGACAAGTGAAAACTAAACAAGATAAACTTATAGAGAAAGTAGTTGAAAATAGAAAAGAATATTTAAAGAGTTGGCCTTAAAAGAGGACTTCACCTTGTTAGAAAAGTAGATTAAACAGTTTATTTTTCAAGGAAGAACGAACCGGATCTAAAAAATAAAGCCTCCTGGAGTTGACCAATGTAACTTAAATGACTGACTGAGCATGGATAGGATGACGGTATGCGATACAACACAGAAGTCAGGCAAATTTTATACAGTGTGGTAATGATTAATGACCATGTTCATACAGAATGTTTAGTCAATTACATCTATGGTTCTTTTATTTTTTATTTTTTATTTTTGGTTTTTTGAGACAGGGTCTCACTACATAGTTGAGACTAACCTGGAACCCACCTTGTAGCCCAGGCTCAAACTCACATTGATCCTCCTGCCTCAGCCTCCCGAGTGCTGAGATTACAGGCATGCACCACCACACCCAGCACGTCTATGGTTCTTAATTGGTACTACATAAAGCAATTCTGTGATACACATTTTTCACACAACCTACAGAGTTTATTACAAGTTACTAAACTGTTACAACCTGAGAACTATTTTATAAAAATTCAGAAAAAGAGATTGTTAAGGCCTTTGTATTTGGCATGATTATATTTACTTGTCTTGGTTACACTTCTGGTTGCTGAGACAAAATACCTAACACCCAAAGTTAAAGGAGGAAAGATTTATTTGGCTCAGTCTGTAGAGGTTTCAGTTCACAGTTGGCTGGCTCCAAGGCAGGGTGGTGTGGCAGAGGGGCATCACAGAGGAAGCAGACAGAAAGCAACAAATAACAAGAGATGACCCTATTTCTGTCCCTTATAGCTTATTCAGGCTACCCACTCTTAGGATGAATGGCACTCACACCCTTAACCCTAGCATCTTATCCTTGATAAGATCACACACTAGATCCAGCCACCTCTGAAAAGCCCAACCTATAACTGCATGAGGCGTTGGGGAGTCACTTAGATACAAGTCATAACATTTCTCATTCAAACAATAATGTTTAGATTATATTTATTTCTCACTAAAACAATAGTGCACCCACTAGAAAACACCATAATAAGAAATACTTGGCTACTATAACACACTACCACAACCAGAATGGCATAAAACAACACAAATTTATTCTTTTGTAGTTCTGAGGCAAGAAATCCAAAAATGGATCAGACTCAGGGTATAGCTCAGGCAAAGTACTTGCCTAGCATGTTCAAAGCCCTAGGTTCAATCCCTAATTCAGAAAGTGGATGGCAGTAATCACACTGAGCTTATAATAAAGGTGTCGGCAGGACTGCATACCTTCTGGAGGTTCTAAGGCAAAGTCTGTTTCCAGGCCTTTCCTATCTTCTAGAGGCTGCCTACATTTCCTAGGTCCTGGCCTCTTTCTTCCTTCAAAACCAGCAGTGGCTGAGTCTTTCATGCTGCATGCTGCCATCAAGTTTTCTGCCTCCCCCTTCCACTTTTAAGGATAGAATTACACTGGGCCCACCTGTACATCCAAATTAATCACCCAATTTTGAGGTCAATTGATTAACAATCTACATTCCTCTTTGCCAGGTAATACATTCACAGGTTCCAGGGATTTAGGATGTGATTTTCTATTGGGAGTAATTATCTCGTGTACAAGTTCTAAAGTTAAACTTGCGTATTGTGCAAGATGGATGTTCAATCTATCAACAATGCTGAAATCTTAGATTTGTTCTGCACATTTATAGACATTACATATTCTTCTACATGCCTGAAAAGCAAGTCTTGTACATAAAGCATGACCAAATATGGTATGCCTTTTTATAGGATTCCCTCGAGGCCTAAGGAATTTTATAGTGCTTTTCAGTTTCTGATATCTTAAGAAAATATATAACAACTACTGAAATACACATACTGTTTCTCTTGGGGAAGATAATGATTACCTTTTTTTGCTGAAATAATAAATATTTACACTGATGAAATTAGAAAAAGCTGGGATCTAAAAGTTCCTAAAACATTTGGTGGAACTGGGGAATGTAGCTCAGTGGGTAACGTGCTGGTCTAATGCAAGGCCCTGGGTTCTAGCCCCAGCACAAAACAAAAAATACAACAAAACACAAAACAAAAACAGAACAAAACAAAACAAAAACAAGAATACTTGGTCAAGGAAATTCAGTTTTTAAAACATTTTAGTTCAAGAGAATGGAGATAGTGAGCTAAAATCCAGTTTTTCTTTCAACTTTTATTCAAAAAAGAAGCAAGTAAATCTGCACAGTGATGTTAGCCCATGGGAGTAGTTTAAGCAGAAAATTAAAAATCTTTTGTTTTTCATTTAATTTTACTATTTTCTTACAGACATGTTCAAAACAAGCTACGATTCTCCAGGCAAAACAGCTTCATCAACCATCTTACCAAGCCCTCCCCTGGGGAAACAAGAGATTCATGCAAGGGAGAGGAAAAGGAGGCCAGTTCTCTGCCCCCGCTGGAAAAGGAAGAACACACCTGGAGAGCGGCTGGTACAAAAGGACCAAGAGGGGAGAAGCAGTAATCGCAGAGGAGATCCTGTTTCCAACCTGTCACTGGTTGTGTAAGGTAAATCTATTGGTGGAGGAAAAGGACACAGCAGCAGCATAATAAAAACTGGGACAAGGTGAGGCTGTGCCAGGTTGCATCTCCCTTAGGGCTCAGCTCTGATGTCAGTCCTTCCAGGAATCCACTCCACCCCTGTGCCCCGCTAGCCTAGAGCAGAACTTAGATCAAGCGACTGGCCCGAGATTGGCAAACCTCCGGTGCACACCTCCTTCATTCACTCACGGATTGTGAAGCACCTGCCCTGCCCTAAGTAATGGGGACAAAAAAGTAAACAGAGCATAGTAGCACTTAATATACAGGCCTTTATTTGCCTTGGTACTGGCTTTCGGTTCCTCCCCCAGACCTGCTTCCAGGAAGAGGCCCTACTTCGTTTTTGAGTGCTCCGGGTCTAGCACAGTTTCTGCACAGATTAGGGGGTAAATGAAGAAAAGAATGACTTTAAAGAGTATTTTTTGACGGGGAGGGGGGTATGTTTTCAAACCTGTAGCTCTCTAGGGCGGGAGCGGAGAGGGGGACGGAGGGACGAGCAGACGCGACCAGAATGGAAAAGGCACTGACTTTATTCAGAGTCATGAGGCAGTCCACAGCTTCGCCGCTCACACAGAAGTGAGTGCCGGCCCCGGACCCGAATGGGAAGCTCTT